CCCCAAAACCCCAAAACCCCAAAACCCCAAAACCCCTCTAATATTTAACCAGATTGAATCACGAAATAAAGTAGAATTTTGCTGAAGAGTTAGTTCACAGTATTTTGGTAGAAATCTTCAATACCTGAACCTCCTGTGTTTGATACCTTTTCATTCTCCATTCGTATGGAAGGCTTCTTTTTGACTAAAAGATTAGCTTACAAGTTTACCTCCAGAAAAATTGCTTTGCTGAATAGGAGCATTCGTATTAATCTGTATTGTATTCTTATCATTTTTACTGTTTGATCGTTTATTATTTTTAAGCTTTTCTGCCAGATCCTTCTCTCTTAAGTCAACGCTCGATTGATGAAGCTTCTTGCCATTATATTTCCATTCTACTTTAGCTAGTCTGAACCTAGATGATTTCTTACTATCTTCTTGATTAAATTTTTCTGTATTCTTTTTCTCAATATAGGGTTTTCCATATTCTAAATCAAATGTCTTGCTGATCGAGGATTGACTTTGATGCACAATTAGGCTCTTATTCCTTTCTGTTCTTTTCTGTTCTCGGAATTTCTCATTACTACTGACTAAAGGTTGTAATTTGTGCTGTTTCAAGATCCTTCTAAGTTCCTGAACTTTAAGGTTGCCTATCCGCCTTTCTTGATCTTTTTCCTTCAACCTGAGTTTGGCAAGCTGTAATTCCTTATGCTTTAGACTAAGTTTCTTGTCCATGTTTCGCTTCTTTTTGGAGAATTCTTTATCATCCTGTTTAATTTTCTCAGAGATTTCTTTAATTTTCTGAAGTAGCTCTTGTTGAGTTTCTTTCTTTGGAATTTCTTGACTTCTATTTTCATGTCTTTTAAGCTGAGATTCAGCTCTTCTACTCCTTTTAGCTTGTATAGAATTAATACACTTCTGAATTTGTTGCAGTTGAAGCATATTTCTTTGTATAAGGTCCTCATGTTGTGACAGACTTGTTTCTTTTCTTTCGATAGTGTCTTGGATAACCAAATTCTTGTTTAGAAGGATGAGGTATCTATAAAATTTAGTGTTATCTGATACCTTTCATTTGCCTCCATAGGTTTATATGCTTTAGGTTCAGGGTTGTTATTCTGTACTAATATTTTCTCTTGGTCTTTAATCTCCTTATTTCAGGTCACGAATTGTTTTCTTTAAAAGTTCAGTATTAGGGTCCTTCTTGACTGTATTCTGAGGCCTATAATTGATAGCCTCTTGTAGCTTGACAGCCCATTGCTCCTGATCTAATAGAAGTTGTTCTTTTTGTTGTTGGAGCTGAGATATTTCAGAATTGAGAACTTTATGCTTATGCTTTGGAGTTTCAACTACCTGTTTTTGCTTTAGTTGCTGTTCTACATAGTCCTTAAGAAAGAATTACTGTGAATTATCTTGTATTTCATGGTTTCCAGAATTCTTTCCATTCTTGTGTTTAAACCCTTGAGTTGGTCTCTAGCACGTGTGTTTAGGTCTCTCATTTTGTCAATAATATCATCTTTTGTCATTATTTTCTTCTTTTTGCTATTTGAATGAAATTTTAGCACCTCCCTTTGCTACTTTTGGAGAAGAAGCAAAGGGTCCATTACTGTCCTCGTCATAAATTTTTGAAGCTTCTCTGTTGTAGTCTTCGAATGACTTTTCGATGTATTTATCTGTGTCTGAGTGATCTGAGTAATCAGACATTGAAAAAAGAGTTGATATATTATTTCAATATTTTTAGAATTTTTAGGGGTTTTGGGGTTTTGGGGTTTTGGGGTTTTGGGG